TTTATTGAAGGGTGCGCAAGCGTTGTTTTCTGCAACAAAAATTATTTCCATGACTTGGAAGTCAAGATTTTATTTCTATTTTTAACAAAAAAAATTATGACTCACACCATGATGTTATGATGTGGTTTTGAGTCTAGTTTTCAACACAAGAGATTTCAGGAATAAATTCTTTGAGGTTTGAGAGAAACAATTTTTTATTGAGAGATACTCAACCTGATTTTTTGTTGAGAAATTTGCATTGTAATATAAAAAGTCACTAAAGGTAGACTCAATAAATGATGTAATTTAGGGATTGAACTAAGCATTATATTATATTTTTAGTCTATTTCAGTACTTGAAGAGATTTGGAGAGAAACTCTTTATGAGTTGATAGATATCATATTTTTATCATAGGATGTTCATGTTCTATTCTGTAGTAAATTAAAAAATGCGGCATGTTAATACACATCTTTGGATTCCCAATAATGGAGGCCTTTTTAAGGCTCTTTTCAGAGGGGTTTTATAGTGTGTCATACATATAATTTATTATAATAAAACTTCAGAGAGAGGTAATATAGAGCTGGCAAGGTATGACCCACTATATGAAGAATATTTGATCTGGGAACAACAAAAAGAAGAAGAAACACAATATCTATAACAACATCTTGATCTCTTCGAAATTAAGGGATACATAGAGAAACTTGGAGGTAGCAATAAAAGTTAAAGATCAGTGGGAGAATCAAATTTGTGACATGCAAAATCGAAGACCAATATATTCTTCATCAATTATGTGCTCTTCTAACATCGTCAAACAATTGTAAAAGCAATGAATCAAGAAAGCCCAAGTACCACACTACATGGTTTTGAAGTATTAAATATATCACACATTATATGGTAAGGTCAAATAAGGAAAGATGATTCAGATACTTTTTATATGGGGTATATGGACATTAAGTGATACGTGCTAACAAATTTGAAAGAGCCTATTTATGAATGCCATGTGTTATGGTACCTGATTGTGCTAAGAGTACGAACTACTTAAGGTAGTGATACATATAGATATGTGATTTGATCAAGCGCTTTGAGTCCTAAATATGAAACATGAGAGATGAGTATGACTCATTCAAATATGTAAGTACAGAGGGAGTATTCTGATGGAACGCGGTCTTAGTGACCATCCTCCCGATAATGTCTAGTAATATGATGTGTTGCATGTGACGATGATCTCTTCATAAAGTTTCTATATTTGCCAAAAAATAAATTTTTTGTCAAGAATTTGATAACCATTATTTAGTCATGGTTTATTTTAGATAAAATTGTAATATGGACTTTATGACTTGTTTTTGTAACTATAAACATGACTTGGTAGGTGAATACGGTAAAATAAATTTTGAAGACTAAACATATATTATAATATTAAATTTGATATTTTGAGCATGTTAGATCCACTAATTCTTTATGAAAAATTATTTTATACTGTCATACTATTATCTAACCATTGCTTGTGTGTACCAAGTCAATTTTTTTTTGAAAGGGAGAAAACCATTATGCCTTCAAGGTATTTATAAAATTGAGAGAAAAACTGTCATGCATAGGTTTTTAAATATCCATATGCCTTGACTCATGTTTGTAGTTATTTAGAATCCTCAATTAGCTAAGACCTTGAACCATACATAATGTTATAGGAAAACTATATTGTTAGGCTTCCTTAACACATGTTATATTGATTAGATAACTTGGTTGACTAGTGTAGTTGAACCGTTGTGGCTTATAAAGGTTTTGCATATTGTGAAACTAATGGGCATTGAATTACTTATTGCATGAGACTTGCTATGCTACCACATGATATAGACATAAGAACATTGAGAATATATATATTGCATGTGTAATAATTGAGTGGGAGCTGCTACAGTCCCATGTTTTTTTTAACTGCTTAGATATTCGTATATACAGATGCAAGCTATCTCAAAGATTCAGATGATGTGAAGTCTACATCTGGATACGTGTTCATGCTTGGAGGAAAATTACTTATTGGAAATCAAATAAACAGGATGTAGTGGCATTGTCCATCCTAAAGGCAGAATACGTGACGTGCTATTTGGCGGTCAAGGAGGCCGTGTGAATTAAAAAATTTATTAATCGTCTTGACTTTCAATTCATGCGTTGTGAGATAGTGAGGATTTTCTGCTACAACACGCCAGTGATATGCATGTAAAATGGAGCCACGATTCCATAATAACTCCAAGCATATCAAACTAAATATTCCAGTGGGAGAACCTAATGTTTGACAGGCCAGTTAGAACAAACAGACTATAGTGTTGTTCACCTATGGAACCCAGATGTGTGGCGCTGGTTGTATGGCTACAGAAAGAAGTAGCTTGTTTGAAGAACTATTTTAAGCCAATGAAGATACGATCCCATGCGATGAGGATACGTGATGATTTTCTGTGTCAACAGGTTCATGATTCGCGATACGATATGAAAGATAGACTACGACCATTTTCGGGTTGAGATCCGAGCAGCAAAGAGAAAGAGGCGTTGACTCTATGAGTTCTTTTGTGAAAGGATTGATGGCGGTCATGATTAATGGATTGAGATAGATTGTTATTATGAGAGACAGATGGGGATGAGAGAAAGTGAGGAAGAGAGAATGCAAGGCCTTCAAAGGCCAAGTGGGAAATGTTGGGTTTATATGGCCATATGAGAGCTTGTATGAGCATTTTATATTTTAGAATATAAACTTAGTGGGAGTGTGGTCCTTTTAAGGACCATATTAAGCAAATGTAATTTGCTGATACTCGGACTAAGCTCGACGATCTAGGCCATCCAAGGTCTGGAAAATCTAAGATACCTGAGCATAGGGATCTACCGAGAATGGTTTAGTGGGTTATCCCTTGATGAGGTCGGAGTATGCCCAGATGAGAACCAAAGGACTGTGTGGCCCTTGTATGTGATGAATAGCCTTTAGAGGCAGGACTAAAACCTCACATGACATGTACATAGATAGCCGTTTTGAGATTAACAAATGAGGGTGAAGCAGTACATGTGCGAGAAATTACCCTTATGCACCATAGAGTCATGGTTGTATCATGGTCTGGAGGACTATAATTTTTGTCTCTAGGGGAGAACCTGAAATTTATAAATTGAGATTGCATCACTTAGTCTATTGGCTGACTTTGGTGGTCCAATCATGAGCCCCCGCAGTGGACTGTGGGTCATGGGAACTGCTGGGTCAGTTTGAGAAAGCTAGGCGGATCGTGATTCGAAGTTAAAGGTGGAGTGCTCTTATATATTTCTCTATTGCATACTTAAGTAATATTGTGTGTCTTTGAGAGTATGATCTACCTACAAAATTTCAGTATGAGGTCCTAAGGGAATTGAGAGTTATGATTGCAGGGTGTCAGTTTTGACCATACAAAATCCAAAAACTGTCCATTGAGTTCCGTAATTTTTCCCACCTATGATATAATTTTATTTCTTGTTGAATTTTTACTGTCTCATAAAATTGAGTATACTTTTATTAGTATTAGAGCAAGGTTGATATTTGAAGTCATTAGATGTTTTTTCCCTTTATTGAGTCGGAATCAAGCTTGGAAACGTGATGTAAGAAAGCTATTAATCTTTATGGTCAAGTAATACACCTCGGTTAAGAATTATTGAAATATTCAAAACTCCGAGAAAGGAACTTTACAGAATGAGTATTATGTGCTATTTTGGAACAGTTATATGAATACAATAATGACGTATTCTCTTCTCTCTCTTTAAGAATTCTCTCCCCCTACCCTAAAATTTAGCTCTTTTTGGAAAGGGCTTGGATTACCAAAGGGAGGCATGCCCCAATTTTATCTATCTCCAAGTTGCACCATGTTTTGGTGCCACGCATCACCTTTGTTCTTTATGGGTGGCAAAGGGGTGGAACCCCTTGCTAGCAGATCTCTCCCTCTTCATATTCATCTCTCATATATTTAAAATCAAGCTAAGAGGCTTGATCAATATTAAGCCATTGAGTAGATTTTGCCATAGTAGGGAAATCAACATACCGATCATAGATCCTGAGCAGCATCGGAAGGAAGAGACTCGGCGTGGGGTGTACTAAGCCCGACTGAAGTAAGCTCTAGCAATTTTACCTTTTTAAATATCTACTTCGCTTCCCATAAAGCAATAAAATCTAGTTTTGTTTCTTGAATAAAAAATTGTATTTGAAGATGTAGCAATTGAGAACCGATTTTATTTTTATTTTATTTATTTCAAGAGTGGTTCGATTATAATTGGATATTGTAAGTGATCTTGCCGGTGAAGGGGTAAAGGATTTTTTTTATATCTACATCGTGTTTTTTCATAAAGTACTTTCACGTGACACATCCAAGCTACACAATTTCACATCAAATGGTTATAAGGGATTGTGACTGCCTTGCATAAAAGATAAATGATCTTAGTGTATACAATCCCAAAATTTAAAGCTTAAAAAATAGTATCGAGTAGATCTATAAATACTTGAAAATCTTGAAAATTAATGATCCAAAAAAAAAATTACAATTCAAAGCTTGAAATCCAATTTTCTCATGACTATACATCTTAAGTTCGAGATGATCGATTTGACAATTTTGGAGCATCAAAACAACATTCTCTAGTAAATTTTTGATGTGCGGGTTTGTTTGATTGTTAGGCCCATCCTTATATAAACTTTTTCCTCAGATAAATTTCAAAATTTTGATAGTTAGAAAGGGGAATTGAAATGTTTGGTGGACGGTGGAGATCAACCGAAATCCTAATCGAATATCCGAACGATGCTTGATCACCACCGACCATCCTATCCCCTCCCTCCCATGGGTGTTTTGAGTTATTTTGAACTCTTACTTGGACTGACACGAGCGACACCCACATGCGTAGCGTACCCACGAGCTTGAGTGGGCCTACCGACTTGGGAGTCGGGACTAATTGGCTGTCGCCACGTGTCCGTTGATGTTACTTTGTACTCAAGGAACAAAGGCGACCGACTCCCACCCAAAAACAAACAAAAAAAGTAGTATTCTTGGTGCCGAGAAACCAACGGCTCCAAAATTCTTATTAACGGCGTCAACCCCGTTATTTGACGGACGTCAGGCCCTCTCACCCCTCACGCTTATTGCAGGGTTTCTTGCTAATGGTCTTTCTTTGTTTCCCCTATTTTTACAGGTATTTTTTTGGCTTATTATTTCTTAGTTTACTTTGCAAATCATTAGTAAGATGGTTGCTTTTGTTCCCTTCTCATATTTTCTGGTATTTTTCTCCCCTTTTGCCTTTGTTGTTAATGATATAAGAATGATAATTGGTGTTATACTGTGAGATCTCGTTTTCCGGTGATCTATTTGGTATTCTGAAATTTACGCCGCCTTTTGTTGTGCACTGGGGTAGTCGTTTTGTTTGGATCAATTTGGATGCAGAACTCGTTTTTAATTTTCTTTTGTTTCTGATATATGGTTTTTGGTGTAAAAATCTTGGATTTCTCTGTTTTTTATGGATTTGTTTTCTTTATTTTTCATGTTTGGGGAAAACCGAATGAAAAGTTGTGTTTTCTTATGCTTTCATTGCTTTTTATCATAAGTATTTGTTTTTCCTATTTTTGGTGATATTATGTGGTGTGAATTGGATGAATACATATTTTTTATTTTTTCAGTCTTGATCTTAATCTTGATTATTGCAACCTTTTTTTTCCCATTTTTTGGATATTACTTTTTTTTTTTGTTCATTGAAATTGGTTGATTAGTTACATTGACCATTCAGATGAGATCTGGTTCACTTGAGTGCATAATCAAGCAGATCATCTATTTTCTCTACTGAATTTGATGAGGGTTTAGGTGATGCAGTATCCTTCATCTTTTTTGTAATATTAATAATCTGAGGTACTATCTAAGCCTTCGATCTGTTTACTTGGTCTGAATTAGCACCAAATATGTTGTCTGGTTTATGTTATTTACTAGTTGCTTGCAGCTTTTTTTTTATCGCAAATGATCTATTAACTATAGAATTTGTTGGGATAAGGCTCAGATGATGATGATAGTTTGGGTAGTAATATGTTTCCTTAGTTTCTAGATTATTAGTTGGAAAATATGGTAGTATTGGCATTATCTCCTCTGTTCTTTTCCTTTAGAATTTGCCATGCATGTTACAACGATAATAGTAGTTGGCTTTGCAGCAGCAGAAGCAGCAGGAGCGCCAGTAGCAGTAGTATAAAGTTGCCAACTGTTATTGTTACTGCAATTATGAGTGTATTTCTTCCTTTCCTTATCAATTTTCTGAGTAAGTGTATCAGATTACCTGATTGTTAAAGAGCATGGATCTCTTCTTTTTAGTCTTATATGCATTTTTTAACTACTCGGCCGGGCCTAGTTACTCAGACTTGGCTCCTTGCAAAGCCAAACTACCGGTGTAAAACTCAGGCATTTCAAAAAAATAGAAAGGAAAAAAAATAAATTATATAAATTTGTTGGATCAATGTATAAAAAGTCATATACGTAATTTGGATTTTTTTTACAATGATTTGTGAGTTTCCTTGTCATATGCCCTAGTTTTGTACTTTCCTCCCTTTTTTTTCTTTTTTGGATTTTTCTGAAAAGTCGGCAACTGTAAATCCACCTTTTCTAAATCCATGGTTTATATGTATTTTTAGCTTGTTTGGACTTTTGATTAATTATGTTGTTTTTGGTTATGTTTCACTTTTAATAATTTTATATTATTTATAGCAAATTTTTTAATTTTTAGTTTTTTAATGAATTTTTGGGCCCTGACATACTCGGCTACACGTATGCGGCCGAGTTACTTGGCTCGGGCCAGGGCCAGGGCCAGGGCCAGGCCTGAGGCACAAGCAAGTTTAAGAACATGGCTTATATGCTTTGCCTGAAGATGAACTTATACGATAGTAGTTTTACTTGTCTTATGGATACTGGCTGAGCAATTAGTTCTGCTGCTGTTGTTTTTGTCATTGTTGCTGTCGTTGTTAGTTTGACATTATTGTGTTTGTGATTGTAGAAAAATGCTATGTTAATTTTCACCTTTGGTGGCTCTGCGTTTTTAGCAGTCTTATCTGTCTCTAGCTTCTTCCTAGGCAACCTTCTGTTATTTTTCATTTTCCAAATCCTCCGCAACAGATGAAGGAAGATGGATTTATCATAGAATCTACTCTTTGTGGTTATATAGTTCCAGTGTTGTATGTTCTGTGGTTTATTAAATATAAGCCAACCTGAACTGCATTGATGACCTTGCCATAAGTAATCAATTGAGTAGTAAGAATATTATGATTTATCCATTTTTTGGAAAATGTGAAGAGCGTCCATCTTGAGGCCTGCCTGATTCTTTTTGTAACTTCTCTTGAGAAATACAACTTATCTTGAGCAATACAATCTATTTTATCCAAAAAAAAAGAAGAAATATTCTGACTCTTGTGAATCACTGAATATGTGAGTCAGTGTTGCTTGTGATATGAATGTGCTTGTGGACTTACATTGTGGATTTGTATTATTTGCTTCCAGTACAATGCAATTGTGTTCTTGGTTTTCAGGGTGATGCTTCTATCTTGCTCTATATGATGCTCTTCAACAATTGCCAGAAGAGAGGTTTTTTGTTACTGTAAATACATTGTTCTTGTGGAGCCATTTGTTTTTCTGTCTATAGGGATTGGTGGTAAATACAAAAATGGAAGTGAAGAACGGAAGGGCATTGGGTGATTGCAAAAGAGTTCATGATGACTTGAAGAGGAAGAGAGCAGCTCGTTGTGCATCGTATTTTTCGAACATTGCATGTCCGCTGCTATCATATGGTTCCAAGGAACAATTCCCCAACAAACGACTCAAGCAAGAATTGTTGACTACCAATGGCTCTAAGTGTTGCTCTAAGAAGAGCCTGATAAGAAATTATGCAAATTTCTTGAAGAGCGGTTTGCCAGAGCGTTTAATGTTTTATCAGAGTGGAGAATGGATTGATTTTCCAAAAGATATTATTGTTTCAGTTCAAGAGGCTTTCAAAATGAAAAAGTCAGCCACTGAAATTATGGTGCAGGGCTGTCTTCTCTTACTAGATTTTCTGCATATGCAATCAATCAATTTAAAATCCGGTTTACAGTTGCCAATTGCTTGGATTGATGAGGTGAGAAAGTGTTTTTTCCCTGAGATATGCTCTGAAAGTACTCAGCTGTGTGGGTGCTTGAATTCCAATGATAGTGTAGATCAAGTTCATGAAGATGTTGAGCCCAATGGGACTCGTGAAATTAAGCTACAACTTGAGATAGGAATAAGTGGGGCTGACAACTCAAAGACCCAAATGCCAATTCCACGTGAAATCCATGAGAAAGCTGCAATGGATTGCAGTGATCTTAAGCAAGAGTTTCCAACCAGCCTGAAACCATTTGCTGAAGTCGAGGAAGTTATCGCAGAAAATGAACTTGCAGTTGGCTATGGAAGGCCATTGCATTTTGAAATTTGCACTAGTGTTCCAGGCAATCATGATGTTGATGCTGTTCATGAAAGCTTGGTTCGAGTGGATAGTGGTAGTAGTGATTATGATGTGGTGAAGAACTTGTTTCTTGAAGGAATGGGCAAATTCATTGAACCAAGAGACATAGTGGGAATTTATCATCCCAAACCCACATGTATTTCATGGCAGGCTCGGTTGCAATCTTTTGAATACCAAATGGAGGTGACCAAAAAATACCGAGGCAATGCGAATGTGCAGCGTGCTTGGCATGGATCTTCCAAGCAAGGGGTTGAGGGTATTATGTTGCATGGTTTTGGAAATGTTGAGAAGCCGAGGAACGGACTTACTTATGGCCATGGAATTTATCTCAGACCGTCTCGTTATTCTCATATTAGGTATACTAAGATTTAATTTTCATTTTGATAGGCAAAAAAAGTATATGTATAACATACTCCCATGAACAATTTTATATCCACTCTCTGTTCTCAGAAATGGATAGTGGGAGATTAACTAGACTGGGGCTCACAAGGTACATTCAACTGGGTGCAATTATCTCCAATCTCTCGTTGGTGATGGAGGTTTTCTGGAATACTGCTTACCGTGGTCCATTGAAATTTATTATTGGTTTCCCTTTTTAGTGATATGCCTCTAGTTGCATTCATTAAACTTGAAAAAAAATCCTCCAGATAAACATCATGTGGTCTTATCAATACACTTCTTATTAGCATTTAGCAATCCTGGAATTTTCTGTGTTCCTTCGTCTCTACTAACAAACAATATCCTATGGTTTCTTCTCATTTGTGCAGTGCTCGTAGTTGTGATGTTGACGAAAATGGGATGCAACATATGGTGTTGTGTTGTGTAATAATGGGAAACATGGAACAGGTTCAGTCAGGATCTGAGCAGTTCCACCCTGGCAATGAAAATTTTGATAGTGGTGTAGATAATCATGAGAATCCTAAATGTTATATAGTATGGAACACTCATATGAATACACACATATATCCGGAATACGTTGTGAGTTTTAAGGTGCCTCCAAGTGCTCGAGGTGACTCTCTCTCTCTTTCTCACACACTTGTTTTCCATATCGCATTTCTTATTATCATTAAGCACTTCAGATGATTTAGTTTGTAGTTTTGCAATTTAATTGCTTTGATTCTGAACTTTCTAGGGTCTATTTTATGGTTTTTGATGTGCAAGTTCTGAGCTTTTATGTTTGGGGTAATTTTTGGCAGAGTACTTGGCTGGAATAAGAGAAAATGAAAGCAAAGCTGATACTTCAAGAGTTGCAGATTCTACAGTCTTTAACAGCAAATCGCAGCAGGAGCCATTTACTGTTGATTTGGTAAGATTATAGAAGTATCCACTTTTAGCCGATCCCTATTAGTTGGGAAAAGGCTTTGACAATGATGATGATGATAGAAGTATCCATTTTTAACATTGATGATCTCAATGTGGATCCTCATAGTGGGAAGTTTTAATTCCCATTAAAAAAGACAAGTGCAAAATTGTATTTAAGTTTAACGTTATCGTGTTTGAGAAGCTTGATGATAACAAGTTATCAACTATGCACTCTTTTGTAGCTGAAGTTGTCTTCCATTTTTTCAAGCCAGAACCTTCTTCTCAGCTTCACAATTCTACTTTCAAGGATGGTGATTCTTGAAAAATTGATGCTTCCCACTCATGCTCCCTCTCCTGCTCGATGATTCTGACTTCCAAGTTTCCGTTCATTGGCAATGGAGATTTTCATGATTCATTGCTTTACCGTTTATGTCGGCATTATCATAATTATTCAGCAATGTGCAAAATCCTGCGTATTTCCTTCTATTTCTAGTAGTCATCTTCTATTTTCCAATTCTTAAAGTCTCTTTGGCTTATACTTTCTTGTTTCCATCTTGGTAATTTTCATAGGCAAGGAATTCCCAAAACTTGGCATCTCATGTTGAGAAATCCCAAGAGAAATCCCGGGGAATTGCATTAGGAGCTCGAAGAATGCCTCTATCTGCTTGGATGCCATTTCCTGTGTTGTTTGCTGCGGTCTCAAATAAAATATCTCCTTCGGATAAAGATTTAATTGATCGTCACTTTAGTGATTTTAAGGTATGATGGACCCCTATATGGAACCCTAATTTTAGGGCAAGGATTTGACTAATATACATGTTTTCACATTTATCTTGTTGGGTATTTGGGCCAGATGAAAAAGATCAGTAGAGATGATTTCATAAAAAAGTTGAGATGCATAATCGGAGACAAGGTGCTGGTGTCTACATTAAAGAGTCTTCAATACAAGGTAATGTGGCATTTTATGATACACTATGCTGCACTGCATTTAAAGATGACAAATCATATAGCATTGTAGTCCAACTATGATTGAAACTCTTCGGTTCTCTTGACAACCATATTCACTTATTATGATTTTCCAGTGTTAAAAAAATCAACTCGGCCAAGGTACTCCGGACCTGTCTGAGGTGAGTTACTTGGGCGAGTCCGAGTAACTCGTCCGAGTCCAGCTCATTTTTTTTTTTTTACAGAAAATGAAAAAAAACAATGGTTATATGAAATATAAGTACCTCTTTTATCAGCAAAGTAGGAAATGTCGCGCTGGTTAGTGCCCTTTTGTATAAAGGGCCTCTTTATAGGAGGTTTTGAGCTCGATTCTTGGCGGGCGGCTTATTTTTTTTTTGGAATAAACATTGAACATCATTGAAATGATGTGGTAAAAAAAAAGTGACTGGCGGGATTCAAACCCTTGATTGGGGTTGATTGGAGTAAAATTTACTCGTTACAGCTAATCGGTAAACCAATCTAACATATCTGATATGAATATGTGGTGATATTATACTTAAAAGTTTAAAAACATTTTGTACAGCTAACTTACCCAAAACTCGCCTTGCTCATTGGTCGAGGCCGAATTACTTGGCTGAGTCCGAGTTACCTCAGCCGGATTTTAGAACCTCAACCAAATTTAGAACGCTGTGGTTGTCAATAAGCACTCACATTATTTTGAGTTAGGGTAGGGGATTCAGTTTTCTTGGGAACGTCTCTTAGAAGTCTCAAGGCCATTTGCTTGGCTTGTTGGCTTTTGTTATGCTGCTGGGGCAGGAAACCAGAACCCTTTTGTCAAGCTTTGAGATTTTCTAAAGGTTTATAGAGAGATAGATTGTCCTTAGATAGCGGCAAACAATGTAGAAGAGATTTTCAGAAGGGATGGGATTTTATCTCGTCTCAAGGCCATGTGTTGGGCTTGTTGGCTTTTGTTATGCTGCTGGGGCAGGATACAAGAACCCTTTTGCCAAGCTTTGAGATTTTCTTCACGTTTATAGAGAGAGAGATTGTCCTTTGATAGTGGCAAACAATGTAGAAGAGATTTTCAGAAGGGATGGGATTTTATTTCCCATTCCCATGCGTGCTCAAAACATGGCCATTTGGTTCTGTTTACCTCATGTTCCTTTCTATTTCCTTATCATACGTCATATTGTTTTTTTTTTTTATGAAGTTAACTTGTATTATAATGGTAAAAAATTACATGGTAAGGGTGTTCCGATGTCACCCACAACTGGGGACTCGGCAAAAAATCATTAAAACTATCATGTACATAAAGGGCTTATAGAGATGCCCAAATACAAAGATTTACAATGAGCTTTCGGATAAAAACCGTTGTGCATAAACTCAAGCAGGGAGGTTTAAGTTGTGTGCCACTGGTCCATCTCAAAAAAGAAGGTGGACCCGGCTTGAGTATCATGTATTTGACTTCTAGCTCCCTCTTTCGCCAACCGATCTGCGTAATCGTTGGAAGTCCTCCATGTATGCCTCCATGAGATGTCCATAGCCCTGCATATGGTGGTGTATCTCATGAAAAATTGAAATAAGGTGCCAAGGTGGAGGGCTAGTTCTGCTTGCCTCGGAGATGACATTTTGTGAGTTACCTTCCACTATGAGGTGAAGGCCCCAAGACGGATTGTAGTGTTTTAGGGCAATTAATAGGGCCAAGGCTTCAACATGATGTGAGTCCTTTTGGCTAATGTGCTCTGAAAGTGTGAGGAGGATAATGCCTTTGTGGTCTCTAAAGACCCGTCTTACTCCTGCTAGGAATCTCTCATATCCTATTCCCCATTGAACGAGCATTCAAGCATTCATTCCTGACTCGATCCATTCGATGAAGCAGCAGGGATTGATGAATCGATAAGTCTCTATCGATCTTGGTGGTGGGGTAGTAGGCTCCAAGGCTCATTCGTATCCCTTGAATTGGAGATAATTAGTAGATTGATGGATACTTGTGGTACCAGAGATGGGGGAAGGAATCAATGAATGCAGAGGAAGATTCCCTTGTGGAGGAATGAATGGGTATGGCAGAACAAGCATACTCTAAAGACCCCGCCTGCTCCTGCTGGGCCCGAATTACCTAGGGAGCACCCATCAAAGTTTAACTTGATCATTCCCTCAGGAGAAGGTTGCCAGTTATTTGGCCTTGTATTCAAGTGTGGTCGATGATGAAGGAGATTGTACCGTTGGGAAAGGAAGAAACTCCTTGGAATGCCCGCAAAAACCTTGTGGTTAGAGGCCTAGAGAGTTACCACAGAGATGGTCTTGTGGAAAATTGCCGAAGTTTGGTGTTTAGAGCCAAGAAAGATTCTTGAGTTTCTTTCCAGCCAAACTGTCCAGATAGTTGCAGCTACCGTTGCCTTCCACAAGATTCTCCCGGGCTTAGGCCAGCATGAATCAAGTTCATAAGAGATGAGGGCCTTGACCGAGGGAGGAGTGACCTGGTTGATGCCAAATAATTGCAGGACTCGACTCCAAAGGTAGTAGGAGAAGTCACAGAGGATAAAGAGGTGGAGGCTTGTTTCCTCCTCACATTCACACAAAGCACACCTATTAGGAATGGGGATCCCTCTTTTCTGGAGCTTATCCACTGTGAGTGCTTTGTGGGAGAAGGCTAGCCAATTGAAGGTCTGGACTTTAGGTGGAGCAATGGTGGTCCACACTTTTGATTGTGCCGAGGTTAGAGAACCCGAGAGAGTGGGTAGCAGAGTTAAACTTTTGTAGAAAGAGCTGATCGAGAAACTCCCTGAAGGGGCAAGAGTCCAGACTATAATGAGGCAGGAAGAAAAGAGAGTGTAGCATAGACGAGAGAGCCTGGAAGCGAATGATTTCCTCTTCGGTTAGGTTCCTTCGGAATGAAGGATTCCAAACTCTTTGTCCTCCGGTTCAAACCAGCTCCTCAACGATTGAGGAGTCAACATTACGTGCTAGAGAGAAGAGTGTGGGTAACACCTCACACAGGGGTGAGGGTCCTAACCACAGATTTGACCAAAATTTAACTCTCGAACTGTCTCTTGGGTGAAACCTTATAGACCTTCGGAATGAAGTGAATGCAGATGAGAAAGATTTCTAGGCACCTAAAGCTTTATGCCTCTGAATCCTATCTGGCAGGCATGCACCCTCAGGGATTCGTTATTTATGCTTTAGAACTTGTGCCCAAAGAGCATCAGGCTGTTTGGCTAGGCGCCACCACCATTTCCCGAGGAGGGCCATGTTGTGCTTTCGTAGGTCTTTGATACCTAGCCCATCGTGGATTCTAGGTCGACACACTGTGTCCCAAGATACAAGGTTATACTTCTTCTTTTCAGCCTGGCCAGACCATAAAAAGTTTCTCATGAGTTGGTTCAGACGGTTGGGCACCTGGGCAGGGATATGGAAGATACACATGAGGTAGACAGGGAAGTTTGCTAAGGTAGCTTTGATCAAAGTTGATCTCCTTGCCATTGAAAGGAATCTACCCTGCCACCCTGCCAGGCGCCTGTCTACCTTATCTATAACTAGAGCTCTGACTTCTGCTGTTGTCAAGCCAACACCCAACATTCTGGACTTTTGCAAGTTGACATTGAATCCAGTTGCAAATTGGAAGCAGTGGAGGAACATTTTAAGGATGTTGACTGCACTATGAGAGTCCTCCATGGACACCAAGGTGTCATTCGCATATTGCAGGTGAGACATCGAAGGGCCATGTCGGCTGGTTTTGAAGCCAGTAAGGAGACCGGTTTAGTATAATCTGGAGATGGAGCGACTGAAGACTTCAACCGCTATAGCGAAGAGGAAGGGGGAGAGGGGGTTTCCTTGACGGAGACCCCTCGAAGATGGGAAAAAACGTTTAGGTGATCCATTAATGAGAATGGAGAAATGTGGATGAGAGTAGCAATCTCGCATCCACTTTCTCCATTTCTCCTCGAAGCCCATTCTGGCCATGGTCTCATCCAAAATTGACCAGTCCACATGGTCATAGGCCTTCTCCCAGTCGATTTTGAAGATAAGACCTGGTTCCTTGGTTAGGTGTCTCGAGTGAATCACTCATGGGCCACTAAAGCCCCATCAAGAATTTGTCTTCCTCTGATAAAGCCAGATTGTGGGGAAATGACTGTGGGGAGAACGTGTTGAAGCCTAGAGGCTAACACTTTGGCCAGGATCTTGTATGAGGAATTGAGAAGATTGATGGGGGCGGAAATCTCTAATTTCCTCGGCTCCTTCTATTTTGGGGACTAGAGCTAAGAGCGTGGCATTCGAAGCTTTGTGGAGAGTACCCCTGTGGAAGAACTCTTCAAAGAAGAGAAGGAAGTCGGCATGAATGATTTCCTAGAAATCCTTTAGGGGGGCAATCGGAAAGCCATCAGTTCCAGGGGCCTTGTCTTTGGCTAGAGCATTGAGAGCTTGAAGAATTTCTTCTTCTGACAAAGGTTGCTCTAGTTGGTTTGCAGTGAGGGTTAAGAAATCAAGGGAGGTCATTCTCGGTCTCAGGCTAGAGGGAGCAGAGTATAGAGCCTGGTAGAACTGTAAGATGGCCTGCTCTATTTCACCAGGTTGGGTAAGGTAGGTGTTGTTTACTTTGATCATCGAGATAGTATTGTCTCTTCTCCGACAATTGGTTATCCGATGGAAATTGGCAGTATTGTGGTCCCCTGCTTTCAACCAGGAGACTCGAGCTCTCTGGAACCAGTAGATCTCTTCTTTCTTGAGGGTTGAAAGATAATCCAGTTTATATTTAGATTTGAGCTCCAGCTCAGAGGTATCCAGAGGTCGAGTTTCCTCGAGAGTATCCAGGGTCTTGATGGTTTCAAGCAGAGAAGAGAGAAGTTGCTTGGGGTGGAGTGGCTCCAAGTTTTGAGGGCTGATTTAAGGAGTTGGAGTTTGGTCTGTAGAATGTAGCTAGCTCTGTTGGACACCTTGGAGGCAAAAGAACTCCACCAGGATTTGACAAGTGAATGAAGGGATGCTTCTTGCAGCCAGTGGAGTTCA